GGCATATTCCTTTGAGAAAAAGGAGGAATAGATGTAAAATAGAAAGAGACAGGCACTCCCTTTACAGGCTACGGAAAAGAATAACAGAGCGGCTAAAAGAGGTCAATATATCTGAAATGCGTAGGGAGACACTGGTTAGAGAAATAGCATACATCGAACTCAAGCTAAAGGAATCTTATAGAAGTCAGGAATCGCGGGAAGAACTAAAAGCCATAAACGAAATCGAAAGAAACCCAAAGTATTTATTTTCTTATGCCAAATCAAAGTCGAGAACAACATCCAGTATTGGGCTTAGCGCTTCTTTTTTATAATAATAATAATAATAATAATAATAATAATAATAATAATAATAATAATAATAATAATAATAATATGGAGAGGGAGCATGGACACGGGGGTCGTCCCAGTTACTAAAAACAACAGACATAGCCCCACTTCACAAAGGGGGCAGTAAAGCAATAGCAAAGAACTACAGACCGATAGCTCTAACATCCCATATCATAAAAATCTTTGAAAGGGTCCTAAGAAGCAAGATCGCCACCCATCTAGATACGCATCAATTACACAACCACGGGCAACATGGGTTTAGAGCAGGTCGCTCCTGTCTGTCCCACTCCTGTCTGTCACTAATAACAAACAGACAAATGAATAAGCACCACCTTCTCTTAGCTGGAGACTTCAACATCAACCTTGGCTTACTAGATGATCAGCCTGTAACTGATTTCATCAACAATATGAACAACACACTTCTCATACCAACAATAACTAAACCAACCAGGCTCACTGAGACAAGTGCAACCATAATAGACCACATATGGACCAATATACTAGCCCCCCTTAAATCAGGGATAATCACAGATAGCACTACAGACCACTACCCTACCTTCCTCCTGACAAACATTAGTAAACCACCACTTGAATACAACAAAGTCTCATTTAGACTCCATGACGAGGCCTCAGTAAGGAAGTTCACAGCTGACCTAGAGACTGTTGATTGGCCTACAGAATTCTCCAAGGCCAATGGTATTGATGACTGGACAGACATCTTTCTTAACAAATTACTTAGACTATACAACAAACATTGTCCTATAAAAACAAAACAGATCACAAACAAACGGCTTGGTTGCCCATGGCTAACCAGCACCATTCTGAAATCCATTGACAAGAAACACCAATATGAAAAGCAATATAGACAGGGCTTAATACACAAAGATACTCTTAAACACTATTCATCAGCTCTCACCAAAGTAATAAAAAAAGCCAAACAACTATACTACTCCAGTAGATTCACAGACACTAGAGGAGATATAAAAAAGACCTGGAAAACACTCTCTCAGATTCTAGGGACCCACAAACTGAGAAAAACCAAGAATATTGTCCTAACTAAACCTAATGAAACACCACTACATCCCACTGACACAGCTAACAAGATAAACGACTTCTTCTCAAACATAGGATCTAATCTCGCCAGTAAAATCCCACATACCAATGCCCATGCCGGGGACTACCTAGATGGAAATTTCCCTAATTCCTTCTATCTTGCACCAACTGAGCCCACGGAAGTCATTGAGATCATAAAGTCACTTAAAAATAAACTCGGGGAATCTGTCTCATGTCCCACCATTACTGTACAAGCGAGCGGCCCATGTCCTTTCGCATGCTATTTCATTACTTTTTAACAGTCATAGAGACTAGCACCTTCCCGAAACTACTCAAGATGGCAAGGGTTACACCAATACATAAAGGTGGTGACCCTACAGACTTAAACAACTATAGGCCAATATCTAACTTACCATTGCTATCCAAAATCTTTGAGAAAACTCGTGCACAGGAGACTGTATTCATTTATAACGGCTCAAAACATACTCAACCCCTGCCAGTTTGGATTTAGGAAAAATAAAAGCACTAATGATGCAATCATAAAAATGCTAGATCTGCTTTACACAGCATTGGAAAATAAGGAATATCCACTAGGAATTTTTATTGACCTAAGAAAAGCTTTTGACACAGTAGACCACGACATCCTACTCCACAAACTTGATCACTACGGTATAAGAGGCCATGCTCTTGCTTATTTCAAATCTTACATTACTAATAGGTATCAGTACGTCACCATTAAAGACACAGCATTAGCAACACGGCCACTTGATACTGGAGTTCAGCAGGGAAGTGTCCTTGGGCCCCTGCTCTTCCTCATATACATCAATGACCTTCCAAACGTATCCCAACACCTGAAACCCATTCTCTTTGCTGATGACACGACTTATGTCATCTCTCACCCCTAATCTTGCCACCCTCAACACCATTGTGAATGAGGAGCTGATTAAAATATCGACTTGGATGACAGCCAATAAACTTACGCTTAACACTGACAAAACCTACTATATTATGTTTGGTAGCAGAGCAGGAGATGCACAAATTAACATTAAGATTGACAACACTCTAATTACCAGAAATAATGGGGGAAAATTCCTAGGCTTATACCTTGACAACAACCTGAATTTCAGCACCCATATCCAGCATATAGCCAAAAAAGTATCCAAAACGGTTGGGATCCACTCCAAGATACGATACTACGTGCCGCAAAATGCCCTTCTCACACTATACCACTCACTTATTTATCCATACCTCACCTATGCTATTTGTGCTTGGGGATCAACTGCAGCAACACACCTAAAGCCAATAATAACCCAACAAAAAGCTGCAGTAAGAATAATCACTAAATCCCATCCCTGGCAACACCCCCCCCCCCACTCTTCATAGATCTAAACTTGCTCCCAGTTCAGTACATCCACACTTACTACTGTGCAATCTATATCTACAGGGCCTTAAACTCTAATATCAACCTTGACCTAAAAACGCTTTCTTGATAGTTGTGACAGAACCCACAGGCATAACACCAGACACAAACATCTCTACGACATTCTCCGTGTCCGACTAAACCTTTACAAAAATTCAATGTATGTCAAAGGCCCTAAAATCTGGAATACCCTACCTGAGAACTCTAGAACTGCAGACACATTCATCACCTTCAAAACTACCATTAGAAAACATCTTATCTCCCTGATACACCCCGTCAACTAACTACACGAATACCACCTGGTGCTTCACACTTACACTCACTCACTCATTTGACCATAAACAGAAATATTAATCTCAGTCTTAAAATAATGAATCCTGTGATACTCCAATACTGAAACTATGTACTGTGCCAAAACAAAAGCATTCACATTGCTAAACTCACAAACTAGTAGTTAGTCACTTAGCCATAATACCAACTTACCTCATAATTTGTAATATTTTACAATTAAGAATAAAACTAAGTATGCCCGAAATGCCTAGCCATGCTAAGCGTTCTAGTGGTACACTCTGTAATCACAATTTTACTACATGTAAACCAAACAATAACCAAATTTCTGTAAACTCAGCATTGTAATCCTTATAGAGAATAAACTTTGAATTGAATTTGAATTTGAACTATTGAATAACTACGACAAGGTCCTAGATGCACTAGAAGACAAAAAGAATGCAGATGTAATATATACAGACTTTGCAAAAGCCTTCGACAAGTTTGACCGTGGCGTAATAGCGCACAAAATGCGTGCTAAAGGAATAACAGGAAAAGTTGGTATATGGATCTATAATTTCCTCAAACAGAACACAAAGAATAGTAGTCAACAGAGTAAAGTCTGAGGCGGCTACGGTGAAAAGCTCTGTTTCACAAGGCACAGTACTCGCTCCCATCTTGTTTCTCATCCTCATCTCTGACATAGACAAGGATGTCAGCCACAGCACTGTGTCTTCCTTTGCAGATGACACCCGAATCTGCATGACAGTGTCTTCCATTGCAGACACTGCAAGGCTCCAGGCGGACATCAACCAAATGTTTCAATGGGCTGCAGAAAACAATATGAAGTTCAACGATGAGAAATTTCAATTACTCCCATATGGTAAACATGAGGAAATTAAAACTTCATCAGAGTATAAAACAAATTCCGGCCACAAAATAGAGCGAAAAACCAACGTCAAAGACCTGGGAGTGATCATGTCGGAGGATCTCACCTTCAAGGTTAGTTAGTTTAATGTTTATTATGCACCCCATACCCATCCTGTGGGCGGTAGTCAAAAGATTACAGAGGTACATAATTGGTCCAGGGACCGGACTCCAAAGTTTTGATAGCTGAGCAAGTTACAGAGGTAATGAACTCACAATTTACAAAGCTTCACCTTCAAGGACCATAACATTGTATCAATCACATCTGCTAGAAAAATGACAGGATGGATAATGAGAACCTTCAAAACTGGGGATGTAAAGCCCATGATGACACTCTTCAGGTCGCATGTTCTATCTAGGCTGGAATATTGCTGCACACTAACAGCACCTTTCAAGGCAGGTGAAATTGCTGACCTAGAAAATGGACAGAGAACCTTCACGGCGCTCATAACGAAGATAAAACACCTCAATTACTGGGATCGCTTGAGGTTCCTGAACCTGTATTCCCTGGAACTCAGGCGGGAGAGATACATGATTATCTACACCTACACCTACACCGGAACTCTCTCCAGATTAGTAAGTAAGTAAGTAAGTAAGTAAGTTTATTCAGGTATACACAAATACAGTTACATAGAATTATCATACATAGCAGCATATGTGTAGAGAACCTAGGATAACCCAAAAAAGTCAGTGATGGTGGTGGTGCTGGTGGTGGTGCTGGTGGTGGTGCTGGTGGTGGTGGCGGTGGAGGGGGTGGTGGTGGTGGCGGTGGAGGGGGTGGTGGTGGTGGCGGTGGGAGGGGTGGTGGTGGTGGCGGTGGAGGGGGTGGTGGTGGTGGTGCTGGTGGTGGTGGTGCTGGTGGTGGTGGTGCTGGTGGTGGTGCTGGTGGTGCTGGTGGTGGTGCTGGTGGTGGTGCTGGTGGTGCTGGTGGTTCTGGTGGTGGTTCTGGTGGTGGTTCTGGTGGTGGTGGCGGCGGTGGTGGCGGCGGTGGTGGCGGCGGCGGTGGTGGTGGTGGTACTGGTGGTGGTGGTGTGACGTAGTGGTCGTCACAGTCACACACTCACTCTCCTGGGCTCAATATCTGCTCGTCAAGCTCACAATATTCTAGACTCTTCGGTAAACATCGATAACATTACCAGACATCCAAATCAAAGGACTCTGAATGGCATCTGAGACCCAGGTGAACTTTTTAGAATTTGAGTTATATATGTTATTCAGTGGGTCTGGTTCGTGCCAGATACAACCCTGCCCAAGGTAGACTAACATTGTTTGCATGTGACGACTAAGATGAGTCATTTACGTCCAATCCAATGGAAACAAATCACTGACTTTTTGGATTATGCTACGTAGGTGTGCATGCAGGAAGCCCCTTAGTATGAAGAGCGTTTCGGGCTTGTCTTAAGACTAATCTTAAGACTAATTAATTGATTGCTCATATATATATATATATATATATATATATATATATATATATATATATATATATATATATATATATATAATATATATATATATATATAATTATATATAATACACACACACACACTCATAGTTGGGCTTATTACTGGTAATAAGGATTCTAGCATATTAACATATTTTGAATACATTCAATATATTTAATGGTTGTGAGATTACAGATAGCTAGAATAAAAATATATTGTTTTCCGTATGCTTGTGGCTGTGGCTCGTACGTTGGTTTGCGTGCAGCCAGCAGCAACAGCCTGGTTGATCAGGCTCTGATCCACCAGGAGGCCTGGTCACAGACCGGGCCGCGGGGGCGTTGACCCCCGGAACTCTCTCCAGGTAAACTCCAGGTATTCAGGTAATACAAATTGTTACATAGATTATCATACATAGCAGCATATATGTAGAGAGCCTGGGATAACACAAAGTCAAAGTGGCTTATTTCTATGGGGTCTTTTATCATCTCCGATACAATACAATAAAAATTTTATTTCTTTGTGGTACAAATAAAAATCTAGTTTACAGGTAATAAAATATTGGTAGGAACAAAAGAAAGCCACTAATATGCAATGCATTTTGGGTAAACTAATTAAGCCCAACCAGACAAATCCGAAGTTCATGGCCAAGCAAGTCACTAGCCAGCTACAAGAACCCTACTGAGCTCACTAGCCAGCTACAAGAACCCTACTGAGCTCACTAGCCAGCTACAAGAACCCTACTGAGCTCACTAGCCAGCTACAAGAACCCTACTGAGCTCACTAGCCAGCTATAAGAACCCTACTGAGCTCACTAGCCAGCTATAAGAACCCTACTGAGCTCACTAGCCAGCTACAAGAACCCTATTGAGCTCACTAGCCAGCTACAAGAACCCTGAGCTCACTAGCCAGCTATAAGAACCCTACTGAGCTCACTAGCCAGCTACAAGAACCCTACTGAGCTCACTAGCCAGTTATAACCCTACTGAGCTCACTAGCCAGCTACAAGAACCCTACCAAGCTCACTAGCCAGCTACAAGAACCCTACCAAGCTCACTAGCCAGCTACAAGAACCCTACTGAGCTCACTAGCCAGCTACAAGAACCCTACTGAGCTCACTAGCCAGCTGTGAGAACCCTACTGAGCTCACTAGCCAGCTATGAGAACCCTACTGAGCTCACTAGCCAGCTATGAGAACCCTACTGAGCTCACTAGCCAGCTATGAGAACCCTACTGAATTCACTAGCCAGCTATGAGAACCCTACTGAGTTCACTAGCCAGCTATGAGAACCCTACTGAGTTCACTAGCCAGCTATGAGAACCCTACTGAGTTCACTAGCCAGCTATGAGAACCCTACTGAGCTCACTAGCCAGCTATGAGAACCCTACTGAGTTCACTAGCCAGCTATGAGAACCCTACTGAGTTCACTAGCCAGCTACAAGAACCCTACTGAGCTCACTAGCCAGCTATAACCCTACTGAGCTCACTAGCCAGCTACAAGAACCCTACCAAGCTCACTAGCCAGCTACAAGAACCCTACCAAGCTCACTAGCCAGCTACAAGAACCCTACTGAGCTCACTAGCCAGCTACAAGAACCCTACTGAGCTCACTAGCCAGCTACAAGAACCCTACTGAGCTCATTAGCCAGCTGTGAGAACCCTACTGAGCTCACTAGCCAGCTATGAGAACCCTACTGAGCTCACTAGCCAGCTATGAGAACCCTACTGAGTTCACTAGCCAGCTATGAGAACCCTACTGAATTCACTAGCCAGCTATGAGAACCCTACTGAGCTCACTAGCCAGCTATGAGAACCCTACTGAGTTCACTAGCCAGCTATGAGAACCCTACTGAGCTCACTAGCCAGCTATGAGAACCCTACTGAGTTCACTAGCCAGCTATGAGAACCCTACTGAGCTCACTAGCCAGCTATGAGAACCCTACTGAGTTCACTAGCCAGCTATGAGAACCCTACTGAGTTCACTAGCCAGCTATGAGAACCCTACTGAGTTCACTAGCCAGCTATGAGAACCCTACTGAGCTCACTAGCCAGCTATGAGAACCCTACTGAGTTCACTAGCCAGCTATGAGAACCCTACTGAGTTCACTAGCCAGCTATGAGAACCCTACTGAGTTCACTAGCCAGCTATGAGAACCCTACTGAGTTCACTAGCCAGCTATGAGAACCCTACTGAGCTCACTAGCCAGCTATGAGAACCCTACTGAGCTCACTAGCCAGCTACAAGAACCCTACTGAGCTCACTAGCCAGCTATGAGAACCCTACCGAGTTCACTTCCTTAATACTCACAGAAAAACAAAGTAGGGAACTTTGCAAATTTAACACCATTACTAATGTACAGAAAACAGCAGCAACTTAGCAAATTAAAAACTGAAACTTTTGCAGCAGTGCTTAAGATAGGAAGGATTACCAACATTAAATAGAGGAGACTCAACTGATGTAAATAATTATTGACCAGTATCTAACTTGTCATTTTTATCTAAAATCTTCGAAAAACTAATTCATAAGCGAGCATGATCTTTCCTAGTGTCCCACAATATATTCAACCCCTGCCAGTTTGTTTTCCTCCTGGAAAAAGTACAAATGATGCAGTTAAAATGCTGGATTTTATAGTTTTTGAAAATAATTAATATCCAGTGAGCCTCTTCATAAACCTTATGAAAACTTTCAAATCACCCAGAACAAAATATGAGTTGCATCCTGGGTCAGGAGCCAAGCGAGCATGTAGCCTATGATGAATTACAAATGGATATGCTAAATGTCACAGATAGAGTAAAGCAGCTGAAATTAAATCATTATAAAATTGTTCACAAGCAGTGTCCTAAATATCTGTTGCGAATTTTGTCAAGGTTAGGGGAAGTGAACACAATTTTGTAGTGCCTACAGTAGGTGGTCAGGCCTCAAACACCTTTTATTATATAACAGTGCAGGAGTGGAATGGATTATTTAAACATGTCAAGGCCAGTCTTAGCATGAACCAGTTCAGGAAGAGAGCTATAAAGTTGCTAATGAATGAAGTTCCAAAAAAGGGAGGAAAGCAATTTCTTGTATAGTTAACATTTGTGTGTACTGTACCTGGAGAGGGTTTTGGGGGTCAAAACCCCACAGCCTGGTCTGTGACCTGGCCTTGTGGTGGATCAGGGCCTGATCAACTAGGCTGTTACTGTTGGCTACACGTAAACCGAGGTATGAACTACAGCCCAGCTAATCAGGTACTGACTTATAGGTGCCTGTCCAGAGCCTTCTTGAAGACAGCCAGGTGTCTATTGGTAATTCCCCTTTATGCATGCTGGGAGGCAGTTGAAAAATCTTGGGCCTCTGACACTTACTGTATTCTTTTATCATGCTAGTACCACCCCTGTTTTTCATTGGGGGATGTTGCATCACCTACCAAGTCTTTGGGTTTCATAGGGAGCGATTGTCAAATGCATATTTGGTACTAATCCTTCTAGGATTTTCCAAGTGCATATAATCATGTATATCTCCTGCCTGCATACCAGGGAATAAAAGTCAAGGAACTTCAACCATTTCCAGTAATTTAGTTGTTGTGTTGTACTTGTGTGTGCCATGAAGGTTCTCTGTACATTTTCTAGGTCAGCAATTTCACCTGTCTTGAAAGGCATTGTTAGTGTGCAGCAATATTCCAGCCTAGATAGAACAAGCAATCTGAAGTGTCATTATGGGCTTTTCATCCCAGGTTTTGAAGGTTCTCATTATCTGTCTTGTCATTTTTCTAGCAGATGAGGTAGACACAATGTTGTGGTCTTTGAAAGTGAGATCCTCTGAAATTATCACTCTCAGGTCCTTTACATTAATTTTTCGCTCTATTTTGTGGTTGGAATTTGTTTTATACCTCGCTATAGTTTTAATTTCCTCACCTTTTCCTTATCAGAGTAATTGAAATTTCTCTTCATTGAACTTCATGTTGTTTTTTGTGGCATATTTAAAGATTTGGTTGATGTGCACCTGGAGTCTTAGTGTCTTCAGTGGAGGGCACTGTCATGCAAATTCGGGTGTCATCTGCAAGGGAAGACATGGCACTGTCGCTTACATGCCTGTCTGTCAGATATGAGGATGAGGAACAGCATGGGGGTGAGTACTGTGCCTTGTGGGACAGAACCTTTGACAGTAGCTGCCTCAGACTTTACTTTGTTTACTGGTACTGTACTCTGTGTTCTGTTTGTTAGGAAATTATAGAGAGATCTACCAACTTTTCTTGTTATTCCTTTATCACGCATTTTATGCGCTATTACACCCTGGTCACACTTGTCGAAGGATTTCACAAAGTCTGTGTATACTACATCTGTGTTTTGTTTGTCTTCTGTGGCATCCAGAACCTTGTCATAGTGGTTCAGTAGTTGGGACAGGCAGGAGTGACATGCTCTAAACCCATGTTGCCCTGGGCTGTGTAACTGATGGGTATCTAGATGAGTGGCATTCTTGCTTCTTGAACCCTTTCAAAGATTTTTATGATACGGGATGTTATCGCTACCATTCTGTAGTTCTTTGCTATTGCTTTACTGCCCCCTTTGTGGAGTGGGGCTATGTCTGTTGTTTTAGCAGCTGTGGGATGACCCCTGTGTCTATGCTCCTCTCCATTGAATGCTTAAGCCTTAAAGCATGTGATAGGGGTTTCTTGCAGTTCTTGATGAACACGGAGTACCTCGAGTCTGGGCCTGGGGCAGAGTGCATGGGCATATCATTTATTGCCTTTTTGAAAT